GGAATGATCCGGACGCAAAATCCTCCATCTTTGAAAAGTTGTATCATTTTGTGTGGGGGGTGCCCGTGCAAATTACCTGTGACCGACTTCAGTTTTGGAGTCAGCTTGGGGCGGATCAGGTGGGCCAATTGGTGAGAACTGGACACGGAGCAGAGGCTGAGGAATCTATCGTAGAGATACCAATTTCGGAATTGCGAGATCTTTAGCAATAATATTACCCATCGATTTGGTCTATTAGTCCATTTCAATCGGTTAAGAAGAGGCGGGGGGGTAAAAATCGGGATTTTCCACGCTTTGAATTTTCCACGCTTTGAATTTTCCACCCATTTTGGCGGGGTTTCACCCGTATCACGCGATAGTTTTTTATTATAATTATTTTTTGACCACTACTTGCTTGGGCGTTATGCGAACAAGCGCTTATATTTTTTTTTAATCTGGAAAATATTTATTTATTTGGGCGTATACGCCCTTTCCAACCCCGGCTGCGGTACTCTTGCTCTGGATGGCACTGAATAGAGCCGTACTCTCTTTTCTCTTTCTCTTTCTTTTTGTTTCCTTTTAGTGTCTGTTGTGTTTTTGTTTCATATCTCTACTAGCTGGTTCATTTTCTATGCGGACAGTCCACAACCCTAGCCCACTTGTCACTCACTATACAACACCTGATTCTAACTCTCCGCAATGGAGAGAGTGAAAACTACTACAAAAGAATTGCTTATTAAGAGCAGATTTGGGCCATGAGGGGGTAGTTGAAGGGATTAGTTTCCTTTTCTTTTTCCTTAAGAGGGCATGTTTTGTTTTTTTCCTTGTGGTATAGGAGGGTTAGGGGTATGGACTGTCCTCATAGCAAGTAGACCAGGGAGTATTCTGTCTCTTGGCTAGTAAAAGTTTCACCCATCATGCTCCCTAGACCCAAAATTATTTCTGTTTCCAGTTATTACCGTCCCGTATTGTTTAATTTTATTTTATGAAGAATTGCCCCAATTACGAGTATGTCTTATGTTACTATTGTTGGTTTTTTTGTTCCCAAGTAACATTGTGGTCGAGTACAGTACTGTACAGCACACCCCGATGTCTACTTGTTCATTTATGTTAGATCCATGGATTAGGGTTTCTCGAATGAAATTATTTACATGCTATATAAGTTTCTAGCCATCTCGCCAGTTGCTTACATCTCACTAATGAGTTTGATTATGCTGTTTTGCACGGTCGAGAGAGGTCTCGCATTAGAGACTATGGTTTTGGGCTTGAGAAATAAGCCGCTCGTCGAGAATGTTGGTTTATTTGTGCTACCGCCTGGCCGATGCTCGAATCATCCTCTAATTCATCGTGGAATTACCGATAGCGGAAGACTGGACTTCAGGGGCCAATTATGCCCCCTCTTAACCCTCGGAATTGGAGTAGAGACCGGGAGTGCTCAGGAGAGTCCTGTACCCGACTCACCCACGAGATCTGCATTTCCAGGACCGAGCACAAAATTCTATGTATGATATAATATCCGCATGTCCGGGGGCTAGCCCAAATGGTTAATGGATTGACCTGGTGTCGGTAGGGGGATACATCGGGGGGAAAGGGAAAAGGAGCGGGTGGAACGAGACCATAAACAATCCATCTCCCAAGAGCGAGGAAGGGGCCTTTTCTCCAACAGCGGCCCTCCACGAACCAGTAACCACAGCCTTATTCCACGCAGGAGAAGAAGGGAAAGGGCGGGTAAAGAAATATAGAAAAAAAGAAAGAGGGATCCAAAGTCCGGGACTAGGCCCGACCAGATAAACAAACCGGTAAGCCACTTGGCACTTCTCTCCCCTTCCAAACTCCTTGGATGAGTTCCTACCGCCTCCGGAGCAGTCCTCGCCCAGCCGATCCTGGTGTTGGGGTCGCTTGGCAGGTTCGCACATTGGCCGTAAGTGTCTGTGTATCTGTGGGCCCCGCGGTTTGCACCGTATGGGGTGGCCAGCTTGTATCCGAATGGCGGGTAGTAATAAGGATGAAGAGGTTGGGTCAAACAAGAGTCAGTTAGTGCCTTGAAGTTGGGGAAGTCTAGGGGGTTGCCGGCAGCGGAAGGATGGTTAGGTCTCAGGAGGTGGGTAGTATTATAAAGTGTGATTGAACTCGGTCTTGGTGCACAATTGGAAGTTGTCTTCTGGTTCGTACTGTGATCTCGATTTTCGTTTATGATATCGGTACCTCCTTATCATTTTATCTTCATGGGCAAGTCAGCGACCTTATATACACTGAGGAACTGCCTCATTTTGGCTGTCATCCACCCCTGGTTCTAGCCCTCCATTAGCTGATATCCGCTGATCAATCCAACCCGCTTTTCCCTATTTTTTGTTTCTTTCTACTCTCCGCTTCTATTTACCCAAGTCTCTTTGACCAATCACTAATCCTCCACGAGCCATGTGTTGGATAGCTTCCCTCATATCCCCAACCATCCATCAATTTTCCTTTATTCATCATATGCCCGAGAACCTTCTACCTCTCTTACAAATCGAACAATAAGCATGACAAATGAAATAACAAAGGATCCACAAACTGCGGACCCATTTCCGGTAAACCTTAATGGCCCTTTGCATTGTGATTGGAGTTGGGTGGTCAATTGGAGCCCCGGTGATTTACAACAGGTAGTTGTTTGTTCGGGTTGAGTAATAGAGAAAAGGATTGGGGTAGCGGAGTGCAGGGAATACGGGGTGGGTAGGTAGTGTTGTAAATCGCCGGTACTCTAACTAAGGATGATTGAGGGATATTAGAGACACCCCCACAGCCAGCATTGATTTCTTATTTGTAATGCTTATGAGTTTGTTATTTGTCGAGCGGGGTAGGAGGTTCTAGACCACCTTGGTATGAAGCCAGCGGGGGGGGGTCAAGGGAAATGGTAGTGCACGAGGAGATCATAGAAAGGATGATTGGTTATACAAAGCGGGGTAGGATAGAAGATGGAAGAAACACAAGGAGATAGTTAAAAGAGGGGTAAGAGCGGGGATAGTGTGATCATGTTTGGAGGACAAGCAGAATTTTCCTTCTATCTGCTGTGTATATAAAGGCATAAGGATACGGGAAGGAAGTGAGGGATATAAGGGCAGCAGACACGGGTAGCAAGCACGGCTACAGATACAAAGTACAAATATACGGAGAGCAATAAAAGAAAACGAAAGCGAGACCAAGATACCTTCTGCGTGCGAGATACCGACTATATTACACAAATTTCAACAGGTAGTAGTTGGATCGTCTTGCAGTGGTCGGATAGAGTACTGGTGAGAGAATGGTTGATCAAAGGAGCGATGAGGAAGGGGGAACCTCTAGAATTGGCGACAGCCCCAGGAATAGAATATTCGAGCAGTTGAACGGACGAAAGCGCCGCGGCTGGTTGTGTTGGGTGGATCATCGCGGCGGAACTATAGATCTGTACCTGCCTGGTGGGAGAGGAGAAGCTGGGCAGCCGATTCCTGACATAAATGCTTTAGCTGCTTGTAGTGCATTACCATACTCGCCACCCTGAGCATTTACCTCTGCCCCATGCTCGAGGAGAAGCCGTACAACCGATTCGTTTTCCCCGTACGCAGCGGCTTGTAGTGCATTGCCATACTTGCCACCCTGAGCATTCACCTCTGCCCCATGCTCGAGGAGAAGCCGTACAACCGAATTCGTTTCCCCAGT